ATTTTTAATATTTGGAAAAAATGTGTTTCCAATAAACTAAGATCACAGGACTGGCAAAAATAAAACAATTGCTTACACACACACACACAATTTATCACTACTTTCTGGGAGGCTAGGCCAAAGATTCTATGGTTGTGACCATTTTCTTTTTTTCCTTTTTCTCACATAAAATCTCAACCTAGCCACAGTGGCCCAAAATGACCTGGGAAATTAAGTTTATTTTTTCTGGCAATGGCAACGTGTGCTTGGAAATATAAAACTGTTATTCTGAATAAATTTCAAAGTTCCAAAGTACTACAATTACTTTAGTGAAACAGGACAAAATGAGCTGTTACTGCTGGGGAAAGGACTGGTGTCCCAGAAAGAACAGCATGCTCCCCGACCCTGCCTCGCCACTTCTGGCTTAAATAAACAACTCTGCTCTCTATTTTGCTTTCACCCTGTGCTAATAAAAAAAAATATCTGCAGCTAAAGTCCTCCTCTAACAAGTCTTCATTTTGTCACCATTTTTAAAAAACAACAGATCAACCCTGTTTGGGTAAGGTAACTGGTTTTTCCACTTGTTTGTGGCTGTTGGGTTCCCTAGCAGAACAGTATAAGGAAATTTGCTCCCTGGCTCTCTTTAAAAAGATGACTCCATATGTCTGTAAAACAGATTGATATTCATGAGTGAAAAAGACACCGTTATTACTTGGTTAATCTGTAATGCCAAAGTGTGTGGCATTCTGCTTGCAGAATACTGGATGAAAATTCTAGAAACACTGCTGGTTATATGTGATCAGAGGGTAGGAAACAGCTCTGCCAAGAGAAAATGCAGATATAGAGATACGGTTTAAGTATACACTGAATAAAATGTCGAGTACAGAAGGAGACAAGAAGGACAGGCGTGTTCTGTGGACCTCTTGCACATTTTTCTGCCACGTAAGGAGATTGGAAGTTTAAGATGTGTTCTATGCTCAGTTTGAAACTGGGAAAAAGCAAAAAGACCCAGGGAAAGGAAGTCAGACTATCTTATCCCTTCCCCTACACAAGGTCTGCTCAAACAGGAGATCAGGGGAAAGTGAGTTAACTTCTAAGCCTTCTAAGCATCAATCATTTTTCTCCACACTGCCTTTGGAGGTTATCTTCACCTCTTCATATTTTCTTCCTGAGCGCCTCTGTCTACTACTGTTCATTTTGTTGCTAGTTCAGTGTAGGAGTCATGTACACATGTATTCACCATCCATTACTGAAGTGGACCCTGAGATGGGACCAAGCTGGTATGATTCCATTTTGAGCTTTGCCTTTGTTTTAGGGATTTTAGCCTTGATGGGCCTAGATCCAGAATGAAAAAAATTTATCTGGTCCCCCTCCCCTTAACAACCCTTGATTGTTCAGTTAAAGACTGACCCATGAAACAGATAGATTGTAAATCTGGCTCCAACAGTAAACCCTGCCTTTTTTCACATGCTTATGATAAACTCCGCCTATTGGCCACCTGTGTGTGTGGTCTGGTATGACTGTACAATCCTTTGTGTGTGTTACAATCCTATTGGTCACCTATATGTGACCGGGCTCAAACTCATGGATTTTGCCTTTTAAAACCAAAGTATGTGGGCCGCTCGGGGTCGTAGTATCAGCTCCCGAGCCTGTGCTGTGGCCCTGACAGGTCAGTATAGGAACCCTCTCAATAAAGTTGCTTCTTTGTTAACAACTTTGTTGTTGCCGTGGGCTCTGTCACTCCGGATGACTAGGTGGGCTTGCCTGTCTGAGTAGGGGTCTTCCTACTACAATTACCATGTGGAGAAAGTACAGAAAGAAAGGAAAAGCCCTTCCCCTGTCTTCTGTCTGATTTCTACATTGACCCTCCTGTCTGCACACCAAAATGAAAAGGAGCTGCAGCAGGAGCATCTCTGGCACACAAAGTTAACAGAAGAACAAGATAGAATGAAGAGAAAAAAGGCTTTGAGAGAGCCATCACTTAACACTGATCTACCTGCCTCGAGTCTTTTCTCTTCCAATAAAGAAATGGAGCACATTTTCCAAGTCATTATGAAAATAAAGATCCTTTTTTCTTCATCTTAAGAAAGGGCTCTGCTAATTTTCCCTCATGTGAATGCCAGAAAACAGAACTATTTGTGATTTCAGAAACTTCAGATTTGGGAATACTTGCAAATATACACACATATGGAGACATCTTGCTGATGGGATCCAAGTCAAACTTCACTTATGTTTGAAATATGCCTTTTACAATAGCCAGAATATAATTTTACACAATAGTCAAACAATGCCTCAAGTTTTGTGGTGTGGTGTGAAATTTTCATGTCATACCATCTTGACACTGAAAAATCCTTCACATCTCAGAACATTTTAGATGTGAGATTTGGGATGTTCAACCTATATATCCTATCAGTTAATATGATTCTGAAATTTATGCAATGGATAAAATAGATATACTGCCAAGCACTAGGCAATTAAACAATGTAAACTACAGACAATGTGGATAAATACAGGAAGGAAGATATGTATGAAAACCCTTTTTTAAACTGCTTTTCTAAAAGCTATAGGATGCATAGACATATTATAACTGTTTTATAACCAAGTACCTAGAAAAATGTACAACACAAATACTTTTGAATAAGTGACCCTAACTTAGGTCTGAAAAAGCACAAAACTGCACTTCTCTAAATATTGGTAAGACAAGGCTACAATCAGCAAAATAGTCCAGAGATTTAGGCAGCACGGTGCGGGGACGGGGTATGGAGGAGACTTGGGGAGCTTTCCTTGTGTCATTTGTCTGCCCTGCCTGCATAGCTTCCTGTCATTCCTGTTTAAAACTCTTGACTGTAGAGTGAAGACATGCTTGGCTTTAAACAATTTACTTCTAAATACCTCAGACATGAGAAAACCACTCTACAGCTCCATAAATGCCTTCTCAAAATAAATACATGCTTTATGTACTCAAAATATTGCAGCAAGCCAGGCACTGGTAGCTCACACCTGTAATCCTAGCTATTCAGTAGGCTGAGATCTGAGGATCATGATGTGAAGCCAGCCTGGGCAGGAAAGTCCATGAGACTCTTATCTCCAATAAACTACTCAGAAAAAGCCAGAAGTGGCACTGTGGCTCAAGTGGTAAATGTTGGGTTTAATTTATGTTAGGTTTATAAAAAGAGGTAGCTGAGTAAGAACAGCACCACACATGTGGTATTCAGGTAAGGGGTAGGTTTATTCAGTAGACCTGCTGGGACCACGCCAAGCTGGCAAAGAGGGCGTTTGGCTCTGGGTTAGGCCTTATCTAGGGTAGGAGCGGGGAAAGGTGTGGCCACTTCAAATTCAGATGTGACCTCAGCATGCAGATATGACCTCTTCCAGGTGTCCCAGTTGCCTAGGTAATGCAGACACTGGGCGGGGTCTGCTCACCATCCAGGAATGGACCTTACAGTAAAGTGCTAGCCTTGAATAAAAGAGGCTCAGGGACAGTGTCCAGGCTGAGCTCAAGCCCAGGACCAGCAAAGAAAACCCCAAAACAAAAAATAAAAATATAATTAAAGCAGTTCAAATCTCTAGCTTGGCCCACTTTTTTTTAACCAGGAAGCCCAGTTCCTTTGACCTAGGACAACTTGACCTCTGTCTATAGAAATATCCAGCTCCACCTCTGCCTAAAGCAGTCCCTTGACCTTCCTGGTATCTAGGGCTCTACCTCCACCTCTCCATTCTCACCATCTGATCCACAGTCTTGTGGAGGCCTTGTATGGCTTGGCATGTTTATTAGGATCTGAAGTATAGGTATCATTTCTAGTGCATGCCTTTCTTTTTGCCTTACTTCATCTGTATCATCATTCATATTTCATCTGTACATAGGCTAAAACACGGCAGGAACTCAGGTCAGACTGAAAGAAAGCCATTCTATATCTTCAGTGCATATGAGCACCATTTTGAGGTAAGTGAAAGCATAGCTGAGCTCTCTCTGTGCTATTTTACAACTAACATTTCTCTTAAGGTAAAGAGAATTAGATATACTGATTTTAAAATACCTTTTCTGCCATATACAAGGCCATCTGCATGTACACACAAACTGACTAAAATGTGGTATGTGTAGGGGCAGATTCCAATGGTGGAACTTTTCTGAACAACATGAATACTAAGAGTGAATACTAGGAAACTGAAACAGTGTGGTCAGGAGAGAGAGGACCTGGCCAAGAGGAAGGGGGATGGAAAGAGGAAAAGTGGGCAAATACAGTCATAATATATACTCAATGTACATACGTGAACATGTAACCAGGTAACTTGAGGGCAGTGGTGGGGTGGGAGAGACTGGGAGAGAAGGATGGAAGGGTGACATTGATCAAGATGCATTGTACTCATAAACTGGCAGATTGAATTGAAACCTTTTTGTACAACTAGTAAAAACGTCTTTTCTGGTAATTAGAGTTTCCTTACAATTCCTGCCAGGTTGAAGTTTACATAAATCTGGAGGACAGGCAGTGTGAATAGGTGTCAAGGTAAATCAATGACATGAAAAAAGCTATTAAACAGCCCACAGCAATATGCACAGTGGACAAAAGCCCGACTGAGAGTTGACTGTAATTTTCAATTAAAATGCAATGCACTGGTGGTTCATTAAGAATTGGCTGTAGGGCAGAGTGTGGCTCAGTGCTCATGATGCATGTGTGCGGCCCTGGATTCCTTCCTCCTACCTCAAGTTAAAAAGAATTGATGTGGTACTTTTACTGAAAAGCCCAGATGGTTAATGACAGCAAAGGTTTGATATTTTAACTCACAATTCAAGTCAATCATTTTCAAAGAGACATTTTAACAACTGATTATTTACTATATATGAAGATTTTTCATCGTAAATTAATTTCTACCATTCTGCCCATTGTAATGATGCATTCACTGCAGAGTATGTGATCAAAATAAATATAAAGTCTCTAAATTCATTCTCGTACACCTTAGAGTTATCTAACCGCTGCACTGGCCCCGATGCCATCCTGTGATAATGCAACACAACCTCTCACCTTTTGGATTTCTTCAGGTAAAGCATGCATGGGAATGTGACGATCCATAACTCCCAAAAATATTCAGAGCTTCAACACAAAATATTCTAAAAAACAGTGAGGACAATGATCAGAGCTAAAATTTTAAAAATTCAAGTTAAGATGATCTATAAATTCTTAGCATTTGAGGAAGAACAGCACTAAGGTTTACAACATGTTCATCAACTCAGTGTTAAGGGTCCCATGTTGGTTTCCTCAATTCAGCCAGTGGAAAAGGAAAGACTTAGAGATTGATAAATTATATGCAGTATTTTCTATTTTGTTAGAACAGTACAGACTAATGGTAATTACTATGGTGGTTTACTATTAGTTTTGCAAATACAAAATTACTGTGAAATTCTAAACAAACTCAATTATTTCCGCATCTTTTTAAAAAAAAGTCAACACATGCTGGACACCAGTGACTCAACCTGTAATCCTATCTACTTAGGAAACTGAGATCTGAGGGTCACACTTGGACGACACCCACACAAGAAAGTCCATTGAACCTTTTATCTCCAACAACTATTCAGAAAAAGCCAGAAGTGGTGCTGTGGCTCAAGTGGTAGAGCACTAGCCTTGAACAAAAGCAGCTCAGGAACAGCACCTGGGCCCTGAGTTTAAGCCCTTGGACCTCAAAAAAAAATCACATTAGCTAGGCATGTGTGGCTCACCCCTGTCATCTGAGCTTCTCGGGAGGCTGAAATCAGAGGATTGCAGTTCAAAGTCAGCCCAGGCAGGAAAGTCTATGAGAGTCTATGCTAATTAACCAATAAAAAGCTGAAAATGGAGGTGTGGCTCAAGTGGCAGAGCTCCAGCCTTGAGCAGAAAAGCTCAAAGACAGCACCCACATCATGAGTTCAAGCTCTGGAATACACACACACACACACACACACACACACACATTTTATCCTGAAAATCTACAGAGTAGTCTGACAAGATGGTAAGAGTAATTGTGGGATCAATACTATTTTAAATGATGAAGTATAGTTACAAGATCAAATATAACATGCAAGAAATAAACTTGAGTCATTAAAACATGAGAAACCAAGTGTCAACTTTATCTAAGATGAACACCTAAAATATAATGTTATGCAAATAATTTGAACAGCTTTTCCTTTTCTAATGAACATAATTCAACATAAAAGTATATCACTACTTTTATAAGCCACAAAGGATGATTATGGTCCAAGTAGTTTCTTTGCATGTATGAAAACAGAATTTGTTGAAATTAATAAGAAAATAAAACATGTTGAAATTGTTGTATCAAGGGGAAGGAGGTATGGAGAGTGATAGAAGGGGTGAGGTTACAGGTACAGAGTGGAAATGTCAAGAAACCCCTTTGTACAACTAATGCATGTTTTTTCTTTCTTTTCTTTATTTCTTTTTGTTGTTGTTGTTGTTGGTTGTGGGGCCTGAACTCTGGACCTGGGCGCTGTCGCTCATCTCTTCAGCTCAAGGTGAGAGCTCTACCACTTGAGCTGCAGCACTTCCAGATTTTTTTTCTGCTTATGTGGTGCTAAGGAATCCAACCCAGGGCCTCATGCAGCAAGGCAAGCACTCTACCACTGAGCCACCTTCCCAGCCCCAACTAATGCATATTTAAAAAGAAAGAAAGAAAGAGAGAGAAAGAGAGGAAGGAAGGAAGGAAGGAAGAAAGAAAGAAAGAAAGAAAGAAAGAAAGAAAGAAAGAAAGAAAGAAAGAAAGAAAGAAAGAAAGGAAGGAAGGAAGGAAGGAAGGAAGGAAGAAAAAGCAAACCTTCCCCATAAGGGTCCAGATGGAAGGAATAGTGAGTAAAATAATAAGCAAACAGGCTGTGTGTGTGGCTCAAGTGACAGAAGGACTGCCTAGCAATCAGGAGGCCTGGAGTTCAAACCCAGTACTATTTTAAAAAAATAATAAAGTCCCTCTCAAATATGGAGAAAGAGTTGTGTTCTAACTCCTTGACGGGTACTTAAGAAGCAGGGGAGCAGCAAATGCATAGACCATGGGCATGCATGGGCTCAAGACTCAGGAGGGGAAGTGAAGTCTTTCAGGTGGGGGTGAAGGGTCAGTGGAGGAGGTTGGGGTGAGGGGTCAGTGGAGGCTCCTGAAGTTGGTCAGAGCAGGATTTTGACACATACAGACACAAGTAACAGCGGCACGACTTTTCAAATTGTTCAAATCAGGACTCCTCATCCTGTGTTAGCACAAAAACTTCTCATTTCAAGGATTTAAAACAAACACAAACCATAAAACAAAGTGTGTATGGTAAACTTAACTGAGGTCAACCATGGGGTTAAAGTTAATTAACTATGTCAACGTAGGCCCAAATGACCAAGTATCTTATAGGATGTTTGGCAGACTCACAGTCACATGACAAGAGACCAGAGGCTGGTTCTTCTTATTTATGCCATTTTAGAGGGCTCACCTTCCAAAAGATAACTGGTAACAGTTTCAACCTCATGAGTTGTTTTTTTTTCTAAAATTACCAGCTAAATTTTCTAAATTTAGCACTTTTCTAAAATTACCAACGAAATCTCCTTTTATCTGCCCATAAACTACTTAAGAGCATGCATCTGAGTGGCAATATAAACACAGGCATCAATCAGCCTTCATTGATTGGACCAGATTCACAATGAAGGTTATTTATTTAGCACCTTCATTGTGAATCTAGTTCAATTTAGGGGGGCACTGGAATCTGAATTCAGGGCCTGATGCTCCCAAGACTGGCACTCTACCTTAGGCATGCCTCCAGAATTGCTTTAGGCTGGTTATATTGGGAGATGGTAGTCTCACTGACTTTGTTCAGGGTTGGTTTGGAGCCACAATCCCCTGGATCTCAGCCTTCTAAGTAGCTAGGATTACAGGCATGACTCACCGGTGCTGACTTGGCCGTTTCTTCTTACTTAGGAAAAACTTAAAATATCCTGCCAAGCCAGAAAACTCCCCAAAAAACAGACATGATTTTATTCTGGAGTAAGCATTTAGCTGGACTTCTATGAACATCCAGCCAATGTGCTAACAAAATCACAAACAAATCCCATTCTTCAGAGACAGAGACAAGTATGCAGCCATTCATGTATGCTTCAAGAAAACTGATACCTTGTCAAGTAAGAGACCTTAACACAGCTTGCTACTCATGCTTTCACAGTTCATCTTCAATTCATGTGATTAGGATAGGCACCTAAAATAGCTGTCTTGCTCCTGGGGAATGCATAAAGATGGTTAGGTACCTGAACTACCTTCCAAAGGAGACAGGCTCATCTGCTGTGGTAGTGGGGCTTGAACTCTAGGTCAGTGCTCTACCACTTCAGATACACAACCCCACTTCTGGCTTTTGCTGGTTAGTTGTAGATACGACTCTCGTGGTCTTTCTTGCCTGGGCTGGCTTCGAACCTTGATCCTCAAATCTCTGGTTCCAAAGAACTGTAGCTACATTACAGATGGGAGCCAGTCTTTCTTGGTGTTCACTTTCTAAGAAATAGCTTTCAGGTCTTAAAAATAAAAAAATAAAAATAAAAAAGGAAAAAAGCATTCGAGTCTGCAGACTCACATGCACATGGAAGGAATGGAGGAAGTGTTCAGAAACTTTTGTCAGGAAGCTGAGCTTTCCCTTGTGCAAGGGGCAACCTTATTATCCTGATTTACTGCTGCTTTCTACCTGATCCCAGTCCCTCCAGTTCGCCCAGTCTGCATGTGGAGACGCCCGCGAGTAGCAGGGGAAGGGTGACCCGGTGACCCCGCAGCGGGGGGGGGGGGCTCGATGGTTCCCTTCCGGTCCCTACACCGGGGTCGGCGTCAGGCACACCCCCAGGGCTATTCCCCGCGGCTAGGGGGGGAGTTCAGCGTCCAATGGCGCTCCAGACGTAGCAGGGTCTTCCAGAAACCAACTGCGGGGGAAACTGAGGTCGGCCCCTTCCTAATGCGTGCTGCAGGGGCCGGCCACGGCAGGAATGAGAAAGGAGGCCGGGGCGAGGGGGCTGGGGGGCGCGGGGTCGGGGGCCTAGAGGGTGCGAGGTCAGAGGCCGAGGAGGCTGGGAGCGCGGGGGGCCGGGGACCGAGGGGAGCGGGGCTGGGAGGCCGAGGAGGCGGGTGGGGGGGGGGGACGGGGTCAGGGGTCCAGGCCGAGGGAGGCTTGGGGTCGGAGGCCCGGGGCCGCGGTCAGGCCCGGGCGCCCCGCCCCGGAACCGCCGCCCGGGGGAGCCGGGGACGCCGGCTGAGGGAGCCCGGGGCCTCTCACCTCCACCTCCCGTTCGCAAGCGCCAAACGGCCGGGCGCGTCTCCCGGGCGACGGCGCCGCACGTGGGTCTGGCGTCAGAGCGCGATGGCGTCACGACCCACGCCACTCCCTGACGCGGAAGCGGGGCGCCCCCGCGTCTGCGGGCCCTGCGTGCCGGCCGGAAGCGGGAAGACGGCAGCGGTGTTCGCGGCCGCCGAGGTGTGCGTGACGTCCGTGTGGAGCACCGTGACGGGCCGGCGGGGGTGGGGGGCGCCCGCCGGGGAAAGCACGGCCCTCGATGTCCCTGCGAGGACGGCGGGGTTGCGGGTGGGGGAGCCCGCGTCGGGGCTGCCGCGGCCCCCGCGCCTTCCCCACGGCCACTGGGAGCTGAGATCCAGGCGGTCGCAGGCCAGAAAGCCCGCCCTTGCGCGGGCCCGCCGTCCTCGGCCCAGCCTACTGCCTGGGATGCTGTCCTGGGCCCGGGGGAGAGGGGGATAAAACTGCTTCTTCCCGGGAAACACCCCTCCGTTCCCCGCGGGAAGGACGAGGGGCCACTAGCAGCGAGGTCGGGGAGCGGGGAGGAGGCCTGCGGGGTGACCAGGTTACCCATGCAGCCCGGCACCTGTCCCTGCTTGAGGAAATGTCACGTGGGACAGACTGGCAGAAGGAAAGGACTGGAGAAAAGATGAAAAGACGGACCACCATCACCCAAGAGGTGACACAGGCGTGCTTAGGAGAAGTGCTAGGAACTTTCCATCCTCCTCGTGCTCCTTTGTGGAACCGTGAATGTAGCCCTGTTCTCGTTTTGTAACCGTGTTTAGATAAAGCACACACAGCTCGTCCAAACCCATCAAGCGAATACCCGAAGCAAGATCACTGTGTTCCAAGGCTCACTTTGCCGGTACAGTCATGCTTTGCTTAAGGACCTGGGGAGTCTTGTTCTTCAAGCACCATCGTGAGCTCGAGCAAGCCGAGATGATGTTGTCGCCCATTACACACCTAGACTAGATGGGGTGGTGTGGGTGTATAGGCATGGTTATGTACATACACATATATGTATAGGGCATACCATACAGGTGTGTGCCTCTTGGTCATAATAAATAAATGATATGAGATTAAATCAAACACAGAAAACATGTTATAATAAGAAACTTACAAGATGTTTGGGACACTCTGTAACAATGGAGCTACTATCACCCACATTTCTCATTTATTTTTGGTTTTGAGAAAAGGTCTGAGTAACTTTGTCCTGGCTGGCCTTGGAATGCCCCTGCCCCTGCCTGCTTGAGTGGCTGGAATTGCAGGTATGTGCCACCATGTTCTGCTCAAGATTACTAATTTTACAGTACACCCAGGGGCTCTACAAACCATAGTTAGCCCAACCTTATTTTCTTCCTATGAACTCAACACAACCACCCAGTACAAGTCTGTCCTCTCAAACATTTGAACAAAATAGTTACAAACAGGCCCCAAGGTTGGAAACCACAGCATCCATTGCTGTTTCTGGGGTTCCATATAACACCAAGGGCAGAATTCTTAAAAGCTGAGCTTTACGGTGCTCTTTATATTTGCATGACACTTCATACACAAAGTGTCATTTAATTAAGAACTCTTAAAAACATAGATCCTACTAGTTATTTTCATTCAGTCAAATGATGGGCGCCAAGGGCGTGAATGGCCCAATATGAGAGCCATATCCCCAAATGTGAGGACAATATGGGAGCATAGTGTGCTGGTGGCCTCCATGAGAGCCTGTGTGAAGTGCCCAGGCCTCACATACAGTGGGCTGACTCTGCCAGTCAGCCACTCCCCGGGGGCACCATCCTCTTGTGGATTAAAAACATATGTATATGCCCCCAAAGCAATGACTTCTGAAAACTTTGCTTTCAATTTCCTTTCTTCCTGCACAGCTTCCAGCGTTCCAACAAGTTCAGCTACAATGCGCTACTTGCTTTGTCTGACTCATTCCAGCACATTTTGTTCCCATCAAGATACATATTGTTTTCCCCCTGGGAGCTTTTTGAATCCTTTGACTCTTTTTTTAAGCTTCTATCAATGTTTAATGTTTTATCAAGCTGCTAGGTGTATCTGAACCCCAAAATAAATATGCTGTGGAGATTAGTTTGACCACAAAATACTATTTGTAGCTGGGCACTAGTGGCTCACACCTGTAATCCTATTCAGGAGGCTGAGACCTGAGGATCATAGTTTGAAGCCAGCTTGGGCAGGAAAGCCCACAAGACTCTTAAGCAGCAAGAAGCTGAAAGGAGAGGTGTGGTTCAAGTGGTGGCAGTCTTGAGTGAAAAAGCTAATAGACAACACCCAAGCTCTGAGTTCAAACCCCAGTACACACACACACACACACACACACACACACACACACACAGCAGCTTCAGGATAATTGAAAACCTGCATAATTTGTGTTAGTTGATGTAATATATTTAATTTTTTCAGTGTGTGATAATAGCATACATAACCCAAGATAAAAACATGCTGTTGAAAAATATAGTATTACAAATACTTAAGACTGGCCGTCTAAATGTGTGTTTTGTTATTTCTACTTATATTCATCAGAATACAAGCATACCTAACAGAATCGGCAGAGCTGCTAAATAACGGGAAAGGGGCCACAGACTTCATTGAGAACCTACTACCGATTCTGGAGCCCTAGAAAACCAGGGAGAGGCTCTGCTCTTGGAATGTACACCTAATGAGCGTTGTTCCATTCCCTTTTCGGTCACCACACATGAAGGGAGAGTGGGGGCCCAGGATCAGAGGAATTCCAGGAAATGACTGTCTTTGGCTCACCTCTAGCTGCGTGCCAATCCTTTGACCAAAACAGGCAGGCCATGAGTCATCTCCAGTCTCTTCACCAACTGTGGGGACTGGGGAGACAAGGCCACACGCAGGAGAGGCAGAAGCAGAGTCCTGAAGAGCAGTCTGACCTTAGAGGAAAGACTCGTGCTGAGCCCACCAAATAAGTAAGCATCGCCTATAGTCACTTAGTGAGAATTGTGCCAGGCAGCCAGGGGAACATGTGAGATGTGAAGCATGCCTCTTCCCCTTTCCCCTCAACTGCCAGGAGGACCTTAATCCTCAAATCTTTGGCAAGAATCCTAACCCTGGAGAATTGCCTTCTATACGGTACTTGTAAAACAAAAACTGTGTCATTAACCATCACAGACCCATGGTAATAAGAGAAAAACCTAAGTGACTAGAGTACAAAGGAATGCTGAGGTCCCCAAGCTTTTATGCTATGTCGCCTGGTCCTTTCTGTTTTATCTTCCCAGCTGGATTTGTTTGCAACGCTGCAAGCATTCAGTGAAAGTAAATAACCAAGTGGAAGAACACTTCTTGCAGTCTCGAAAAGGGTCTGGTTCCGGGACTGACTGGTGTATCTCGTAATCCGTCGGGCCATCTTCTCCCCATCCCGGGACCACCTCCCCTCCCGCACCCCCCCGGGCCCGGTCACCCCAGCGGAGTCGCGGCAGTGGCCGCCCGGACAGCAGCGAGGGCGCGCGGGGACCGCGGCTGTCCACGGACTCTGCGCCCAGCGCAGTCAACTGGGGTCCCCAAGCCGCGGTTCAGGTAGCGTGACCGCCCGCCCCCGCCCGGCCCCGCCGGGCTGTGGAGCGGAGCCGGGCGCCGCCCTGCAGCACCTGCGCCTCCCGCGGGGCGACGGCTGCCTCCTGCACGAAATGCGTGCGGCCGCCGGCTCCCGGGTCACGCAAGCCCCGGAGGTCCCGCCCCGCCCCGCCCCGCCCACTGAGCGCCGGCCCCGCCCCTGCTGCCTGCTTTGGTGCGCTTAGCCCCACCTCCTGTCAATCCAGGCCCCGCCCCCATCCGCCCAGGCCCCGCCCTCCGCCGGTTTCCGTGCGCACTCGCTGTTCCCCGCCCGCCTCGAGCGGCCCTCGCGTGCCGCCGTCGCTGCCTAATCCGGCGAGGAATCCTGGAATCCGCCCGGCCCCGGCTCTGACTCCGACTTTAGGCGAAGGGTGATGCCCTCGACTAAAGCCGGGAAAGTTTGCCTCGCTGATGATGGGCCTGCGTATCGCGGGAGGAGGGGAAGCCAGTGGGGGGAAAGGGAGGAGCCTGCCTCGCTCCCTACCGTCCGTCCGGGGCCGGTCGTCCGGCGCGGAGCCCGGAGGCCGGGGGTCCCGGGAGGCGCGCGCGGCCGCGCGGACGCTTTCTGCCGACTCGTGCGGGCCCGGTGTGGGCCGCCGTCTGGTGGAGGGGCCGGGGCGGCGGGGCGGCGGCGGGTGCTTCGCACGCCACGGCGCGTGCAGGCGAGGCGAGGGGAAGCGCGTGTCGTGCCGAGCCGCGATGAGATCAGCTTGAATAACCGCGGCGGGCGCCGGCTGCAAGGGCCTCGTGTCACGCAGCCGCGGCCCGCCGGGTGCACGCTCGGCCCGGGCGCCCTCAACACCGCCCCGTGCACGCGTGCACACTCGCTCTGGGCTCCCTCAACATCACCCCCGTGCACCCGTGCACACTCGCCACGGGCTCTCTCAACACCACCCTGTGCACGCTCGTTCCGGGGCGTCCTCCACCCCCGTGCACTCGTGCACACTCGCCCCGGGCTCTCTCAACACCACCCCGTGCACCGGTGCACGCTCGTTCCGGGCGGCCCCGACCCCCTGTGCACACTTGGCCGAGCGCACCCTACCCACCTCCCCCTTTCTCTCTCTCCCCGCCCTCCCCTGCCCCACCACTCAGCACGCTCAGCCCGCGTGGCCTTGGCCGCCCTTTGCTCCCCAGGACTGGGGTGGACGCGCCCTTTCCGGGCGGTGGCCACTGGGGACAGATGGGGGCTGGGGACCCCGGGAAGAAAACAGTGCAAAATCTAACTTGCATGGTTAGCAGCAGCAGGCTGAATTCTATTAGCTAATCGGTTTTGGAGACGCACTCCGAATATCAGCCTTGTGAATCAGCCAGTCCTGGTTCTGTGCCCAGTAGGTAACTCTGAAAACCACTGCGCCGTGGAACTCAAAGGTCATTAAATGGGCCTTTAGCGGTGGTGTTTAACGATCTGTGCACACGGATTGCATATGCGCGCGCGCGTGAAATCTAATTTATACACACAAGTCTGGAGGCGCTTTGGCAAGAGGAATACATGTGGATTCAGTAGAGTCAGGATACAGTAAGACTGCTTCAAAAGGACAAATGAACTTGTAAAAACCTGCAGCCTTTGACATGAGGAAAACATTACATTCATCTCTTCACCATCTTGAACATCTTGTACCAACTCAACAACTACAGGGTGGAAATTTCTTTTTTTTTTTTAGTTGTGAAAATACCATACAGAGGGGTTACAATTACATGAGCAAGGTCTTGAGTACATTTCTTATCAAGCATTGTTGCCTCCTCCTTTGTTTCCCTTACAGGGTGGAAATTTCTAATGAGCCAAAAAAAGATGCAAGCATATAAACTACGCAAGCAAGCGCTTTTAAAAGCTGTTTTAGGCTCATTGATAACCTCTGCAACATGAGAAAAATCATATATCTAAGATTTGGTATTGTATTTTCTAAGCATGCATGTGATTCATTGGTGGGTATGTTGTCATGAAACAATTAGGATTAGTCACCAGGTGCAGAAAATCTCTGCTCTGCA